ACTTGGGTCAGTGGATGGTAAGTGCTCTACTTAAAAAGCTGTGCACGAGCCTGCTCTGGGCAGAACTGTGCGGCCGGGACCAGGCAGACACAAGATATTCAAAGGGTGAACGTGATTCTCAGGACCAAGAAAGGGATAAAGTTCAGTCCCGAGAAGGTTGTCTCATGACTAGGGGCATCATTAAGGGGCGGAGTGGTGGAGAACAAGTCAATCAAGACTGATGACCTAGACCCTGGAGGAGGGCGCATGTTCCCTACAGCCTGGCCCAGCAGGCTCACAGGCAGTTATCACTGAAATGACTACAAGTGTGAATGATTAAGAAGTCAATTTACATTGTGTCATTGAGAGAAACCAATAAAACAGAAGCCAATCAGTCAAGAGAGGTCATTAGTAAACAATAAATATGCACGCAACATAGAGTGCTCTTCCCAATCCATTGCCTACTTGACTAATCTTCTTGCAGATGTCCAGTTTGAGAGAATAATATTCTTCTAAGTCCTACTTAGCAAAAAGAAGATATTCTTTTAAGGATATATATATATATACATATACATACAATATACATATTTTATATATATATATATATATATTACATATATTTGGTCCCACTAATTATTTAAAAAACATTATTGGCATGTTAATTATATATAATAATGGTTTTTCTTTTTTTCAAGACAGGGTTTTTCTGTGTAACAGCCCTACCTGTCCTGGAACTAGCTTTGTAGACCAGGCTGGCCTCCAACTCACATAGATCTGCCTGCCTCTGCTTTCTGAGTGCTGGGATTAAAGGCAAGTATCACCACCGCCTGACAATCATGGTTTTTTTTTTTTTTTTTTGGTTTTTCGAGACAGGGTTTCTCTGTGTAGCTTTGCGCCTCTCCTGGAACTCACTTGGTAACCCAGGCTGGCCTCGAACTCACAGAGATCTGCCTGGCTCTGCCTCCCGAGTGCTGGGATTAAAGGCGTGCGCCACCACCGCCCGGCTCAATCATGGGTTTTATTTGACATTTTCATGCATGTACACTTATATTATGCCCTCCATTACCATCCTTTCTTTTTTCTTTTTGGGGTGGTGTGTGTGTGTGTGTGTGTGTGTGTGTGTGTGTGTGTGTGTGTCTGTCTGTCTGTCTGTCTGTCTGCCTGTCTGTCTGTCTGTGGACTGTAATCCCACTGAGGAGGTGGAAGCAGGAGAATCAGATGTGTGTGGCCAGCTCAGCTACATAGTCTATCAAGGCCAGCCTGGGTGACCCAAGACTCCTTCTTTAAAAACAAAAACAAACTGTGAAGAAGGATAAAGGATAATGATTGCTACACCATGAGAGTTAGGCAGCAGAAGACTCTCCCTTCCATCTGGGTGTGGTGGCCCACACCTTCAGTTACAGCGCTTGGGAGGCAGAGGCAGGAAGATCTTGGTGAGTTCGAGGCAAGCCTGGTTTACATAGAAAGCCTCTGTCTCAACAAAACAAAACAACCCCCCCCCAAACCAAACCAAAACAACAAAACATCAGAAATAAACAAACAACAACAAAACACCTCCCTCTCCTACCTCTAATCTCTGGTCATTGCTTAGAGCTCAGAGTGGAGGATTATATCCTAAGAGAATGTCTCACAAGAGTCTGTCCCATCAATACTATGAAGTCTGAGGAGTCAAGCCTTCCTGACAGGGCTGCTGGTCAGTGGCACACTGGGACTAGTGAGCACTGAGGCAAAAGGTAATTAAACTGAAGATCTGGTTAGCTGAACTTTTAACCAGTGGACATATCTAATGTTCTCTATGGGTTTCAGTAGTGTGGCCAGATGAGTCTCGGTGCAACAGAGATGACTTCAAAGTTTCTTTAGGGGTTGGTGGGGGTTTGGAGCAGTGACTGGGTTTTGTGTTGAAGCTGCATCCACAGAGGGCTTCCTAGAGTGGAGTGAGTCTCTTTTCCATATTGAAGAAGGCTGGTGGAGGAAGTGGGGTAATGATTCAGGCTGCATGGCACTAGTAGAGCTAGCTGCCCTGTTATTTTGAATTAACTCTCTTTCTCTAAGTCTGGGTCTCGGTAGCCGAGGCTGGCCTCATGTAGCCGAGGCTAGCCTCAAACCCAGTTCTTCTTGCTTCCACCTCCCAAGTGCTGGAGCTACAGACATGTACTGACACACTTGGGAGGGATCTCTTAACATCCAGATCAGAGATGGGCAAGTCTTGTCAGTTTGCAGAGGGGGACTTTGGCCACTACAAGCTTTGTCAGAAGAAACATTCTACCACAGATTTCTGTCTTTGCTGTTCTTCGTACCGCATTTTGTGAGGAGTACCTTCCTGTTGTTATTCAACCTCTGAAATCTGCAGCATAATCTGGTGATTCTCTTGAAATGAGGACAATGTTGATAGACAGAGCACGACCTCTGTTCAGCTTCTGTAGTCATCCTCAGTTATCATGCAGACACAATGACCTTCAAAATCCTTGGCAATCAAGCCTTAAGGCCAGTTACTTTGGGCCTGTAATCTATATTCATACCAAGAGGGCTTGTTCTTGCCTGAGGCACTTATAGCTGTAAAACTCTTATCAGGCTTGGCTTTTTCATTTATAGTAGAGGAAAGTGATTCTTGGGGAGTTCAAGCAATTTTCCCTCTGAAAACATGGAGGGAAGACAGCCTTTGGCTAGCCTGTGATATGCATGGTGTGATATGCTCATGGACACTTCCTCTGCTGCATGGAATTTGGTGAGAGGTGGTATCCTGGATGTGTGTCTGTCCCACTCCATTTCCTTGTAGAACGGTGCCAAATGAAACCTCTTTTCCCCAATGTGAGCTGGGTCCTTAAAGCTGTTATTCAAAATATCCCACCCAATTCTAGACAAGGGGTGGGCACATGGTGTGATTAGGGTGGTCAGTCAGATGCTGAGTTTTGATAGGAAAATATGGGATTTCTGTTTGTCCCAACAATGGGACACTAATGAGCTGTCTAATGACACTAATAAGAGAGAGGGTCTGGTATCAATCTTTCTCAGTGTGACAGCTCAGCCCTATACCCCATCCTCCCAACCATTCTGCATATTTCCAAAAGCTTTCTCATTTTGCTTATTGGAGGTAGGTCTGCTTGCTTATGCTAAATATCTTAACTGATACGCTTGTTTTCCTAAGTGACAGACTTTTAAAATGATACCATTGTCCTTGGGTGGGGCTTCATCATGGTTTTCAAAGACTAGATGGCCCAGTGTGAGATAACCAGGTTCTGGGTATGTGTCAGGCATCCACACACACACAAAGTGGTCCTGAGTTCTGTCAGCATTCAGTGGCTCTAAAGACGATGCCCACCCAGCTTTCTAATCCTCTTTTAGCTAACATGGAGTACCTGATGAATAAAAAAATACTTAAGTTAATTTTCTTAACGTCTGCCTTCAGCTTTCTCCGATGGATAGACTGTTCCCTGCTGCACAATTCCGAAGTTTGCTCCCTTCCAACCTTTTCTGGACAGTTTGGTTAGGTAACTCAATCACTGATGGCTGAAAGCCTTCATTTGCTTGCTCAGAAGGCTTGGAATGAGAAGGGGAAAAAACAAAACAAAACAAACAAACAAACAAAAAAACGAGTCCAGGAATAGTTTGTGACACATACTAGATCTTGGAGCAGTGTGATTCTGACATTGTTTCCAACAATACAAATGTGGCTGAGTGGTCCAGAGGCAGCAGAATTGAACCTGACCTGTGGGGGTAAGTATGAATAACTCAGAACATAGCCTATGTCTAGTGGCATAAGGACAAGGCGTATTTGCCTGTGGAATGGATTTGTCAGTTATCTGTCCCTGTCAATGGTCCTAAAGTCATCAGTATAACGTACACAGAAACATCTGCTCAGAATAACTGTGGCTTCAAGGGACAGAAGGTTGGAGAGAGGGCCTCACTCAATGGGTACCCCAAAGCCTCTAATGTTCACCTTGACTCCCCCATCATCTTGGCCTAACATGTGAGGGATGGGCTGAGGTTAGGACTTCCTTCTGCCTCTGAGTTCTAGAGGGCAGGTTGTCCTGATAGTCCTGGGGTTGCTGTATCAGAGGGATGAGATGGGAACGGGAGTGCGGGGCAGCTGGGGAGATAGCATGGTTGGTAAAGTGCCTGGTGATCAAGCAGGACCTGAGTTCAGACCTCCAGTACCAACAGGAAATCCGGGAGAATGTACTTCTGTCACGCCAGTGGTAAGGGGGTGGGGCAGGAGAGATGGGGGATCCATGGAGCTCATTGTCCAGACAGCCTTGTTGAATCAGTTAAGTTTCAGGTTTAGTGAGTTCATTGAGAAACTCTGTCTTAAAAAAATGAGATAGAGTGTGTGGTTGCTTGAATGAAAATGCCCCCCATTGTTTCACAGGGAGTGTCACTATTAGGAGGTGTGGTCTTGCTGGAGTAGGTGTGGCCTTGTTGGAGGACTGCATTACGAGGGGGTGGGCTTTGAGGTTTTAGAGGCTCAAGCCAGACCCAGTGGCTCTCATCCTCTTCCTGCTTCCCGCAGATCCAGATGTAAAACTCTCAACTACATTTCCAGCATCATGTCTGTCTTTTGTGCCACCGTACTGCATGCTATGATAATAATGGACTAAACCTCTGAACTGTAAGCAAGCCCCAATGAAATGTTTTCATTTATAAGAGTTAGTGTGGTCATGGCGTCTCTTCACAGCAATAGAAAATCCTAACTAAGACAAAGGGTGACTGACAAAGACACATGATGTCAACTTCTGGTCTCCACATATGTGCACATGTGCCCACATGAACACATGCATACAACATATACACACAAGGTGAGCGCCAAGATAAGTTGTCAGGGATCTGGGTGGGCGGGCATTTGTGCAACACAGGCCGACCAATAATGGTGGGAACATTATTCCAGACACATAGATATAGGTGGCATCCTGTGCAATTTTCTCTATCCTCCACAAAATTATAATTTTGGAATCAGGCATCTTAGAGTTATTCATTGTACATCTTCTAGCACAGTTGTGGACATGTGGAATAGACTAAAGACATACATGGTCTGGTTAGGTTTTATTCACTCTGTGAAACGTCCTCTCTTCAGCTGACCTTAACTTTGACCAGACTGCAGCCAGGGACATTGATGACTGATTGCTTCTCACTCCAGCAGCTGCCATAGGACCAGGAGCATCTATCATGTACCAGTGGAGACTCCCGTTTCCTTTCTTCCTCAGCCACTCAGTGGCTGTCAGGCGCCACTGACTCCAAGTCCATTGCTGGGCCTCATTACTGGGTGACTCATTGGCAGCTTCTGAGTGATTCGCAGGGGGCAGCCACCTGGAATAAGATCTTAGAATTAGCAGTTCGCATAGTACTCAAAAGGAACGTGGCAGTCATGGCTGAAGAGACAGAGAGGAGAAGAGGTACAGATGGGCTCAGGGCAGGGGAATAAGAACGGGAAACGTGTCCAGCTTGGTGGAAGAGCAGTGTGGCACATTGATATTCACTTTGAAATTCACCTAAGATCCAGCTGCAAATGGAGCTCTCTGATTCATGGGAGGAGCTGGCAGAGTCTCAACTTAAAAAAAAAAAAACAAAAACAAAAACAACAAAACAATTTTAATGTATCATCATCATCATCATCATCATCATCATCACCATCATTATCTGATTGTGTGTCTGGAACAGGACAGAGACAAGTAAACAGCTCAAGGATGGGTGTTCAAGAGTAAAATCTCCCAGACCCATTGCTAAGCTGGATATAGGAGGACAGAGAGGAAGACGTCAAAGACAATTCCCAGGGGTTAGCTCATGGGCTTAGGCATGTGGGGAGAGGACCAGGCTGGGAGATTGGTGGTGGTAGCGGTGAGTTTAGGGGTAGAGGAAATCACAAACACTCTTGTGGATAGACTGAGCTTGAGAGGCCTTTGTGACAGTCCACCCAGGAGCTGTGTGTGCAGGGGTGTTCTGGACCAGGACTCACAGAAGAGTTCTGGACTGGGCGGGAAGACTGGGGACGCACCAGTTGCTTGTCTCATTGTGTGACAGAATGCCTGACATAGCAGCTGAAGGGCACAAGGCTTTATTTTTGGCTCCCAGCTCAGAGGGCACAGTCCATCCTGGCAAGGAATGCATAGAGATGGGGCTGGCTTATCGATGGCATTGGGAGTATGTAGCTGTGCACTTATGTCTCAGAGAAGCAGGAAACAGGGTGGAACAGAAGCTGGGCCTGACCTATAAACCTCAAGGCCCCAAACTCCATCCATATTTCTTCTATAGTCCCCACATCCCAAAGGTTCTACAACCTCATGCAAAACACTGCTGCCAGCTGAGGACCCAGTGTTCAAACACATGAGCCTGGGGTGTGTGTGTGGGGGGTAGTTTACATCCAAACCACACAAGGATCATCATGATGAGGCTGGAGGGTGGTTGAGTCTACAGAGACTTCTGAGGTGACATCTGAGGGGTGTGTGTGTGTGTGTGTGTGTGTGTGTGTGTGTGTGTGTGTGTGTGGTGAATATGTGTGCATATATATGTGTGTGTATGTGAATATGTGTGTGCTCTCAGGTGAGTGGGGGTGGGGGTGGGGGTCGGGTAGGGTCTAGGCCAGCCTGAGGGCACCTGTGGCTTAAGAGCTATACCAAGAGCATGAAATGTGCAAAGGGACAGGAGGGGCAGGCAGAGAGGTAGGCAGGCATGAGAGTGCATGCAGTGGCTCAGGAGCCCTGTGAAAACACACTTCCAGAATGGGACAGGCTCTGCTGAGAGGAAGTTGAGGAAGACCAGGAGTGAATAATACCTGTTATGTAGTGTGCAGTCCTGAACTCAGAGAGAACCCCTTCAATATGGTTGTGGGACAGGAGTCATGAGGGGGAGGCTGAGGAGACAGTGAGGCCACAGAGATATTGAGGGGCTTCTGGGAAGTTTTTCTGAGGGGCTTGGATGCAGTTGTGAGATAGGTATCATCTATCTCAGTGGTTTTCAACCTTCTGAATGCTGCGACCCTTTAATACAGCTCCTTGTAATGAGAAGATTTCCTGTGTCCCACCTGGCCCATGGTCAGGGCAAATCTCTCTCACCTGTCAGTCCTGCAGCCTCTCGGACCCAAATAAACACACAGAGGCTTATATTACTTACGAACTGCATGGTCATTAGCTCAAACTTATTATTGACTAGCTCTTACACTTCAATTAACCCATAATTCTTATTTATGTTTAGCCACGTGGCTTGGTACCTTTACTCAGTTCTGCCTTCACATCTTGCTTCCTCTGTGTCTGGCTGGCGACTCCTGACTCAGCCTTCCTCTTCCCAGAATTCTCCTCTCTGCTTATCCCATCTATACTATACTTCCTGCCTGGCGACTGGCCAATCAGCATTTTATTTATCAACCAAATCAGAGGAACACATTCACAGCGTACAGAGCGATATCTACAGTGGCTCCTCATGTTGTGGTGACCCCCAACCACAAAATTATTTCATTGCTACTTCACAAATGTAATTTTGCTAGTTATGAATTGTAATGTAAGTATCTGATATGCAGGATATCTGAAATTTGGCCCCTGTGAGAGGGCCATTCGAACTCCAAAGGGGTTGTGACCTACAGGTTGAGAATGGTGTTTCCTCACTAGCTCTGCCTACGTCCTGCCAGGATTTGGAAGTGACAGCTAGACCACAGCAGTGACAGTCCTAGGGCCACAGATAGAAGGCCTCGAGACCTTGCTCTTAAGTGTCAGCTGCTACCCAACTGTGGGGCTTTCTCTGCTTGAGAAAAGACAAAGCTCAGGCATTGTTTGCAGCTGAAGATAATTTGTGGCGGCTCTGTCTTGTCACCTCCAATACCGCATTTATCCCCCATACCGCCTTCCATGCCACAGGAAGATCAGAGAAGCAAGGTTGAAAAAGTAGGATCTTGCCAGTGGGTGGTGGCGCATGCCTTTAATCCTAGCACTCAGGAGGCAGAGGCAGGGGAATCTCTGAGTTCGAGGCTAGCCTGGTCTACAGAGAGAGAGTTCTAGGACAGCCAAGGCCACACAGAGAAACCCTGCCTCAAAAAACCCAAACCAGCCGGGCGGTGGTGGCGCACGCCTTTAATCCCAGCACTCGGGAGGCAGAGCCAGGCGGATCTCTGTGAGTTCGAGGCCAGCCTGGTCTACAGCGCGAGATCCAGGAAAGGCGCAAAGCTACACAGAGAAACCCTGTCTCGAAAAACCAAAAAAAAAAAACCAAAAAAAAAAAACACCCAAACCAAACTAAACAAACAAACAAACAAACAAACACCCCCCCCCCCCCCCGCAAGTAGGATCTTAAGGGGCAGAGCTAATACTTTCTTTTTCTTTTTTCCTTATTCAGGGTCTCACCATGTAGCCCTGGCTGGGCTGGAACTCACTATGCTGATCAGGCTGGCCTTGCAAATGCTGAGATCCACCTATCCTCCCTCACGAAGGGATTAAAGGTGCACACAGCACACTCTCGAGATCTGAGTTTTAAATACATAAGTCTCTAACTCAAGACTCCGTGGGAACTCCTGTGACACTTTCTCAACAGCTAATCACTAATGATTTCATGTTTATAGCCTTTGGCTGAGTCAAACGGCCTTGGCACATTCTGTTTTCAGGTAGGCATACAGTAGGTGCTTAATGTATGCCTTAAAGTGCTGTGCCTGGGGCACTGAGATGGTTCAGGGTGCTTGCTGTGCAAACCAGGTGACCTGAGTTTGATTTCTGGACCTCATGAAAGGGATAAGGAGAGAGCTGATCCTACTAGTTGTCTGTTATCTCCACCATGGGCTGTGGCACAGGCGCCTACACACACACACACACACACACACACACACACACACACACACACACACACACTCAATTTCAAATAAAAGGTAAAAAAGTCATCTAAACGATGTACCTGTGCTGACCCGTGGTACATTGTATGCAGATGGTAGCAAGAGTACTGCTGGTCATTTCTGAAACTCTAATTTCACAGTCCAGCTTCCAGTCTTCTGTGTATTCAGACTGTTTTAAATCACATTTGTGTGTGTGTGCCACTTGTGCGCACACGGTGCACATGTACCATGGCATGCCTGTGGAGGTCATAGGAGAATTTATAGGAGAAGGTGCTCTCCTTCTACTAAATGGACCCCAGGGATGGAACCAGGTTGCCAGAGTGGCAAGTGCTTTACCTTTTTTTTTTTTTAAATACTTAACTTTTATTTCATGTGCATTGGTGTTTTGCCTGCATGCATGTCTGTATGAGGGCATCAGATTTCCTGGAACTGGAGTTACAGACAGGTGTGAGCTGCCAGGTGGGTGCTGGGAATTGAACCTGGGTCCTCTGGAAGAGCAGTCAGTGCTAAGTCAGAGCTCTTAACCTTTTAAACAATCTTACCATGACCCCTTTAAAATGAAAGCTTTCTCAGTTACATTTTTATTCTGTGTGTGTGTGTGTGTGTGTGTGTGTGTGTGTGTGTGTGTATGTGTGTGTGATCACACATGCACGTGTGTCACAGTGTTTGGGTGGAGGGCAGTTTGGGGGAGTGGGTTCTCTCCTTCCACCATGAAGATCGTGGGGATCAAACTCAGGTGGTTAGCCTTGGTCGTAAGTACCTTTACCCACAGAGTGATTTTGCCACTTCCTTCTCGAACCCTATTTGTGGATTTTTTGTGGTTGTTGTTGTTTTGTTTTTGAGACAGGGCTTCTCTGTGTAGCCCTGACTGTTGTGGAGCTTACTCTGTAGCCCAGGCTGGCCTCGAACTCACAGAGCTCTGCCTGCCTCCACCTCCAGAGCGCTGGGATTAAAAGCCTGTGCCACCCCACCTGGCCGCATTTGTGTTTTGAGTCAGGGTCTTACTCTGTGTCCAGCTGTCCTAGGACTCTGTACAGAGCAGCAGTCTTTCTGCCTCAGCTTTCCGAGTGCTGGGACTACAGCCATGACACATCATGCCCAGCGTTTCATACATACTTAAAACATTGATCAGCATGTATTAATTACATGTAATAGTGAGCTTCATGGTGAACTTTTCATATATACATAAAATGTATTTTGATCATAATAATCCCCACTACTCCTCTCTCTTATCATCTTCAACTTGCACTGATCTCTTCCTTCTTCCTACCTAGTCCCTGTTTTTTTCGAGACAGGATTTCTCTGTGTAACAGCCCTAGCTGTCCTGGAACTCATTTTGTAGACCAGGCTGGCCTCAAACTCACAGAGCTCCACCTGCCTCTGCCTCCTGAGTGCTGGGATTAAAGGTGTGCGCCATCATTAAAGGTGTCCGGCTCCCAAACTTGATTTCTGGGACCCGCTGAGTTAAATTAGGCTGCTTACATAAACGTGGGTGAGAGGT